CTCCCCCGTGCAGCGTAACGTGGCCCCCATTCCCGCGCACAGTGTAACGTATGACTCCCCCCATACCCCCGCGCAGTGTAACGTGTGGCCCCCCCATTGCCGTGCACAGTGTAACGTGTGGCCCCCCCATTCCCACATACATTCCCCGCGCAGAGTAACGTGACTCCCCATTCCCGCGCACAGTGTAACCTATGACTCCCCCCATACCCCCGCGCAGTGTAACGCGTGACTCCCCCGCATTACGAAACTCACATGCTAACGCCAGTCTTTCGTTCGCCCGCCCCCCCAAAGCTGAGCCCCAGCCCCCGCACTCACTACCTCCGCCGCACACCGCTCTGCGCCACCCCTCCGCACACTGCTCATCTGGAGGCGCCGATTCGCCAGCTGGAGGAGGAAGAGGAGGAGCCAGAGGAGAAACGGGTGGGGGGAAAGACCAGCGCCTCTTGTGGGGAAGTTAAAAATAGATATAATTTTTTTTTTTTTTTTTTTTAAATCTCGGGGGCGCACGAATGTGCGGCGCCGGACAGACAGGAGCGCTGGCCTAAGGCCGCCATGATGCGGGAGCGGCGGGAGGAGGAGGGGGCGGCGGCAGCGGTGGAGGCCGAAGAGGCGGCGGACGAGGAGGAGGAGGAGGAGGAGGATGATGATGGGGAGGAGGAGGAGGAGGGCGCACGGGGCGCGCTGGGCAAGAGCGCGGAGGAGCTGCGGACCGAGGACGTGTACGACATTTCGTACGCGCTGGGCCGCGAGCTGCAGGCGTTGGGCGGGGACCCGGCGCGCCGCGCCCGGCTGCAGTTCCAGCTCGTGCGGGTGCTGGAGCTGCTGGAGGCGCTGGTGAGCGGCGGGAGCCGCGCGGCCGAGCAGCTGCGCCTGGAGCGGGACAGCCTGCGCAGGGAGCTGCGGGCGCTGCGGGACCGGCCCGTCCGCGACCAGGTGCGTGGGGCCGAGGGCTGGGGACCTGTTGTGGGCAGGGGTTGCTCCCCGCCCTCCTCCTCCTCCTCCACGACTCCCCAGGCCAGGAGAAGCCAGCGTGTGGGCTCTGCCCCGCTCAGGAAGGGTCTGGAAATCTCAAAACGGTGGGTGCGAATCGCCCCCACCCTGAGCGATTGGCTGGTGCGGGTGGGTACAACTCGAGATTGGGGCTCGGAGGGGCACGGTGCAAATCGGAGCCCTTCTGCAACATCCCGCTGTGACCTTGGCCATGTCACTTTGTCTCTTTGCACTTCAGGTCTCCGTCCTTAAAAATGTGGATAATTAGCACTGGCTTTGCCCCACTTTTCAGGGGCTGTGCTATAGTAGGTGCTTTCACAGCTGGCCCCTAACCACAGACTTTTTTTAGAGGGAAATTACCGTTCTCTCTAATAAAAGAGAGAATGGTAATTTTGCATCTAAGCAATTAGATCATTGGGTACCCAGATGGCGAAAAGGAATTCCTGTTTCTTCCTATGCCCGATCTCTTGTCAGAAGAACAGCCCCGCTTCTGTCCACAAGTTCATTGAGGCAGGTTGCATTCTTGGGTTGCTTGTTTAACTTTCAAATCATTGGTTTTTTGTTCTACAGCTGAGCCTGGGCCCAGACAAGATGATAATAGATCTCACCGATCCAAATCGCCCACGGTTCACGTTGCAAGAGTTGGAAGATGTGTTGCAAGAACGAAACCAGCTGAAAGCTCAGCTTCATGTTGTGCAAGAGGAGCTTCAGTGCTATAAGAGGTAAATCAGTAAGTCATCCTAGCAGCGCAGAGCAGCTGGTTCCAATCTCTGTTGTTCTGCAGAACTGTTGAGAGGGGCTATTATGAGTCTGATGTAGAACCTGCAACGTGCTACACACCATCTAGACATCCCAGGAGAGACTTCCTGCCCTGACAGACTGCAGTCTGAGACTGAACAGACAAGCAGAGAGAGATCCGGGACTAGAGGTTTCTTAGCTACCTTTTAAAACTGGAGTCGTGTCTGTTCTGTATGACCAGAAGCCTGTAACTGCACAAAGAAATGCCTACATGCAATTAATTGTATGTGCAGATTGAGTATGTATGCATACAAATCCAGCATGCTTGACTGGCCATGTGGCAAATACCCAGTCACGCATGCAGTCATAGTAATTGTACACATTGATTTCTATGAAAACCAGTCTCTGTGTATTCCAGGATATTTACAATGGGAAAAGAGGGTTTTCCCTGCCGGCCTTGGACAAGATTTCCCTCCTCACTGTTCTGCAGACTACTGAATGCTAGTTACTTTATTGCCTTGGCTCCTCACAGGTGCCTCCAGGGATGTTGTGTGTGCAATTGACACGTTCTTTGGAATCTTTCAGAATGAAAGATGCTTAGCTGAAGCCTGAGAAGAGTTTTTATGTATTAAATTCCTGTCAAAACAGCACTCTTCTCCCTCTCCCCCCACCACCCGAAAATTCAGATCAAGAAAGCGTCACAGGTAAGGTAGCATAGTCCAGGGAACAGGCCCCTGAACAACAACAGTGGAGAGAGACAGGTTCAATCCCTCGCTTTGTTCCCACTCCCACCATTGTTTGTCTGATCTGATTAGATTGCAGACTCTTTGGGAAAGGACTACCTTTTGGCCTCTCTGCAAAGTGCCTTGATTGTCGAAGCCCTGATCTTATATGAGGGAACAACATAATACAAGTTATAAATACTTCTTGTATGCACTATCTGTAACAAGTTAAGATATCCATTTCAGATCTTCCTGCTCAAATAGCAGTTTTGCC